TTATTGCTATTTATTAGCCATGACTTAGATAATAATAAAAACGGAATGCCATTGCATTAGATTTATTATAGAAATAGTACACACACACACACTCACACTCATATGGAAGTTTGTGCATATCACCTCAAACGAATATTCATGATAACAATATATGATTTCTTTAAGCATCGTCAAATATATTAAGGCATTTATGATGGGAACATGAAAATGCATAGTAGTAGTCATTAATAAAAATAGTTTATCAAATGCAATGAAAGTCATACTGTAGCCTACTGTAGCATACATCAAGTCTTTCCAGGTTTTTTTTTTTTTTTTAAGTTGCCAGTCACCGCCAGCATTTTTATTTATGTATAATGTTCACAAAAATTCATGGCTCCCAGATATTTTGTTGTAGCCTATATGAACATGCAATATATCAAATGAAAGAACATTTCAAAACTTTTTATACAAGCTGCATGCATTCTTTTTATCAACACTTTAATGTGGGTGAGTTTCATCCGGAGATTCTGTACTCTTTCAGATGTGATCGCCCCCCTACCATATAACACTGACAACATGGATTGCTCAATACATTTTGTCATAAATGACGGAAAATTTTGTCAATGGTGGGGAAAGAACTAAATAAAACCGTAAAGCTACAAATACTTTTGACGGACACTTATTGTATCTTTTGTTTCAGCAGCAATTCAGTTCAACTTCAAAAGTCCATCCGGTGTGCTTTCGCTGAACCTATTTTGTCCAAAAACCTCTAAGAAAAGAATCCATCTCGGGATGCTCGAGGAACTGCTTTCGCTTTCTCTGTCCCCATCCCTCTCCTAAGACACTTTTGGCTCGGCTCTATGCTATCTAACAATACTCGAAGAACTAAATTACCTTGTTACAGTAGTGAGCAATGGGGGTGCCGGTGGAGCGCTGCCAGCAAACTAACTAGCTAATAAATAGGAAAGGGACCTGCCAACGTTCTGATGGGGACCTTAAAACAGGTTTTCTTGATTAATTATGCTAATACATTACGCTGTAGTTAACTGTCATGCCGATGATCAGACGTCTCCTTATTCACGTTGATAGCAGTTTAATTAAATGAACACTTGAGGAGAATCTCCAGTCCAAACAGCACCTGGGTCACAGTTATAGATGTATTTTCTACCCCAACGGCGATAAATGTTTGAGTTGGATACGGATACCTGCAGGAAGTGTCAATATGTAATTTTATATAGGCGTATGTAATCTGTATTACCATGCTAATCTTGAAGGATGGCGGTTATTATTATTTTGTACGGTTTTGCATAATTTCCAAATAGATGATTCTATGGCGGCAGTAATATGACATCTGCTGCTATAGATCACGCTCTGCTATCATGGACGTGTGCGGCTTATTGATAATTTAAGACAAGGAATAATCCATTCCTGCCTTATAAAAGTCTGAGTATGTCACATGATTGTATTATGAATAAATTAAATCCATATCTTAGAGGGAGTTTGTGTTTGTAACCATTTTAGATTAAAGCCGCATGAAATATTAAGTCTTGTGAGTATTAAGGAAGCATGCTTTTCCTGGAAGTGCACACTATAATGTCCTGAGTCTCTATTTAAGGGCAATGTGACGCATTATCCTGTGGGGAGGGCAGTGTTGACTGCACAGTGTCCGTTTTATGTTGTGTGGCCATTTACTGAGAATTATTTTCATCTATATTATACAATATATGGATAAAAAAGAGCATGTAAATGACGTCGACTATAGCTATAGGGTTTATGATTGTTTTCATCAGATTTCGTCATTATTATTATGTACTATGGTGCGGTGATGCATAATCTGGAGGCAGTCATATGCAAAGGAGAAATTTGGGCAAAAACTAAAAAACTTGTTTTCTCTGCGTTTCTCCTCTATGGAGCCCCTAAATGGACATGGTGAAGGGGAAATATGAGATGGGAGGAAAAAATAGATTTGAATGCTTTTGCGTTCTGTCGCAAAAGTTTTGCACTCCCCGATAAACTTTTAAACTTCATTTTAAGAGAAAAGTCCCATTAGGGGGATTTATTATCTGGCAATCCCAAGCGGGAAAGATTAGTGGAGGCTTGTAACCAATGCAATATAATGGAGATATCTAAATAAAAAGACATTTTCAGGTCAAATATTGCGACGATTATCTTTAATTAATCGAGAGAAGCAAAAATCGTTATCACGATTAAAATGCGATTAATTCCGCAGCCCTATTTTCATAGTCAAGCCTCGTCTGTCTATGAACATTTTCATAAAAGTGTTGAAAAAGTCAAAAATCTATACAGCTGTCTGAAAGGAATGGTTATTAAAATAACAAGGACACAAAAGGAAGGTTTAAATGAACAACACAAGCTCATGATATTTCTGCAGCTCATTGGGTCTAATAAATGTCACATAATCAATGTAGGCTACTAAGCATATTTTACTTGAACTGTTGTGATATCTTGTCCTCAAGAGACTTTGAGACTTGAATATTTCTTTCTAGAAAGTTCATTCCAATATTCATAACTTTTTGGACGTATGACAATAGATTACCATAGAAAATAGGAATGCAAGGTTAACGTGGTGGAATACGTGAAAACTGAATCTACGTCCCTCACTGTACTCACCATACAAATCAATACACACTCTCTCATACCTTTGACTGTTTGACTGGTGGAACGCAGTAGATCAACAACACTACTGAATCTCATAAATAATCCGCATGAGTCATGTTTCTTCACGTCTGTCCCTTTTGGGGAATCAAATTTTCGCCTCAGTCCCTGACACACGCATTCACAGGTCTACAAAATTAATTTAGTGTGCACTACAACTTGTCGATTTGTTGTTGGAAGACAAAGGCGTCCCCAGAAGTGTGCTAAATCCGGCAAAGGCATTCTTTGGGAATGTTCTCAAAGTTAAAATGGATCTCATGACAAAACAAGGTGGCGATTTGTACACATTTTCGAAAAAAGTAAGCATGAAGGTCAACCTCAAACCTAACCACCTGTGGGGCGTAAGTTTTGGGGTTAGTCACATTTTCGTTTTGTTATTCTTATCAATGGTGATTCCCTGTAGATTGTCATTACAGCATTTTTGGTTACACTTTATTTGGTAACCCTCTATGTTACTGTCCCTGTTAAATATGTTACATGTACTTACCATAGAAATCACAGTAAATTATGCATAATTACATGCAACTAGTCCTCAACCAAACTAGCCCTACCTTAACCATATAGTAAGTACATGTAGTTAATGAATATTACTTGGTACTTAAATGTATAATTACACTGTAACAATGTCAACTTGAAATAAAGTGTAACCCTTTATTTTAAGGTGATGTAGTTACATACTTACTCAAATAAGTACTGAGTAATATTAATTATAGAGTTTTGGTTAATTTTAGGTTATGGTTGAGGGTTAGTTGCTTGTAATTATTCATCATTTACTAATACATGTAGTAATGTGTAACTATGTCACCTTAAATTAAAGTATTACCGTATTCTTTTAGTAAGCTAAGTTAAAGATATATAACAGATTCTTCCATGATAAATGTAAAAACTACAGTTTAAATAATGTATGATATACAGTATCTGGACCAAATGTCCCCACAAGGATAAAAATCACTTAAATTTTAAGGACTAGCCAACTACCCATGTGAGGAAAATAATAAACAATACTAAGTAATAAAAATAAGTAATGTCATAATGAAAATGTAGAAATGCTTAAGGTTTTTGAGGGTTTGGTTTAGGAAATAGAACATGACGTGCGTGTGTGTTTGCATCATTAGTTCAATATAAAAACAATTTAAGTCATTGAAACTTCCCTACCATAATAGAATGCCAAATTTGTGTGTGTGTGTGTGTGTGTGTTTGTGTGTGTGTGTGTGTGTGAGAGAGAGAGAGAGAGAGAGAGAGAGAGAGAGAGATACATACATAAACTTTGTAATACAGTATATACCGATACAGTGCTACATTGTGCACGTGCAAAACAAATCTCAAAATCATAAAAATATTACAATTTATCATCAGACATCCCCAGTTAAAAACTAGTCCCAGTTCTCCAGTTCTCTGTATGTTTTCAAATAGCCTATTGTATTCCAAGTATTCTGCATTCCAACACGATCTCATGAAAGTGCGTATATATAGCACGAATTTTATTTTTCGTGCCATTTATACGCCAAAAATAGTTTTTCCATGCAAATGATACGCACTGTAAACTCCTTGGGTAGGATTAGGAGTGTGGAGTGCGTGCGTATTACACGCCATAAACTGCGTATCATATGCATGCGTACACTGCATATCATATGAACGCAAAAACTATTTTTGGCGCATAAATTGTACCAGAAATTAAATTCGTGCTATAGATAGCCTACGCACTTTCATTGGACCATTCAGCAAAAATGACAGGTTGATAAAACAGCCGTATTGAGAAACAATTGGTAACACACAGTGTAATATTCTCTACGGCAAATCTCCAGAACGGTTTGGAGACTTTTATACGAGTGCCTTCAAGAAGGAGCAAGATAATCAGAAACCATGAGATATTCTTTCCATTTTGTATCGAGAGAGAGAGAGAGAGAGAGAGAGAGAGAGAGAGAGAGAGAGAGAGAGAGAGAGAGAGAGAGAGAGAGAGAGAGAGAGAGAGAGAGAGAGAGCATAGTGGGGCGGTAAAATCATGAATTGATGTTGACAGAATTCATTTCCTCTGTCAGCCACAGTCGCTGCATTCAACAGGAAAAATAACTCGAGTCTCTAGAGCTGAAACATATTCCATATAAACCCACATCAATGAAATAATGTCGTGCGGAATGCCATTTTGTCAGAACACAAGCAGACTGAATGAGGAGTTTATTCAAATATGGTTAAACGTTTGAGAAGCCTTCTTTTCTTATAACAACAAATGTGTGTTGAATATCTCAACGTTAAATGCGTTTAACTACCGTGAGCTTTTGAACGGAGGTTGGAAACTTGGAAACCTCCACTGCAATTGATTCCTCACGATTAATCGTTGTCTAATGACTATATGGCTTTATTATTCGCGTCACACAGAAGCGTATTTTCTTTGAGGGCTGACCAGGATGAGTAACACGACATCGATCGTGCGTTGAGTCATTTGACAAATCCATATTTGATTCTGGGTGGAGAGAGAAAGAGAGAGAAGGAGAGGGAGAGCGAAAGAGAGAGGAGGGGACTCGCGGGTTGTCTTCTTGTCTCTTGTGAGGATTTTTGCAAGACCAAAAGACGTATTATCGCCTAAGCTTTCTTTCTTTCTCTCAAATGTAATAAGCAGAACCTGCTCCGAGCGAAAAGCCTCAGCGAAGTCCTCGACGGGAGGATGTTACGGATATCTCACCTGACATCGATTTTCAGCAACGTTTTTCCCTGACCGTTATACGCAACGCGTTATTCAGAAAGAAAACTTTTTGCCGCCTTTATTTCTTTTAAAAAAATACATCGGTTACAACTCAGCCGAGATGGTTTTACAGTGGCGTTATGACATCAGCGTGGATTGGACGCTTTTTAGTCGAATATCGCTGCACTTTAATCCGTTTTGCGTGGAAGTGTGTCTGATTTAAGGACTAATCATCATTGAAAGGTACTGAATGCATTTTAGTTGGGTTTCCTGTCTTTTTCTTTGTTAAAAGAAATAATGCAGAATATCTAAGCAACAAGCGTCGCCATACGATGCGCACTTTCCCAAGGAATAACGCATCCTTCTTGCGCGGTGTTTTTGGAGAAAACCTCAACGTGTTCCCGCACCAATCTTACTTTGATAAGGTCTATGGCCGTTGTTAAGATCAAATCTGTTTTTGTTTACCTGTAAATACTGTGAAAAGTGCCTTTTTTCTGTTTCCTAACGACAAGGAGAACATGGCTTGCTTTCCATGGCGGGTATTTTGGATAATTCAAGCGCTTGTGGATGTGACACTTTCGCAGGAAATCTACGCTCCTCATTCCATCAGAATTGAGGGAGATTTGACCCTGGGTGGCCTTTTCCCGGTCCATGCGCGTGGGGTCTCCGGGGAACCGTGTGGAGATATCAAGAAGGAGAACGGGATACACCGGCTGGAGGCGATGCTTTACGCCTTGGACCAAATCAACAGTGACGACGAGCTTTTGCCCAACATCACTTTAGGTGCTCGGGTTTTAGACACATGTTCGCGAGACACGTACGCTTTGGAGCAGTCGCTTACTTTTGTGCAAGCTCTCATACAGAAAGACACGTCGGACGTGAGGTGTACGAACGGCGAGCCCCCGGTGTTTGTCAAACCCGAAAAGGTGATTGGAGTCATAGGGGCTTCGGCGAGTTCAGTGTCCATCATGGTCGCTAATATACTGCGACTGTTCCAGGTGAGTCTGAGCTGAAGTGCCCAATAGTAGCCTATACCACATGTGCTGGTCTTTGCGTCATGCTCTCATGTCGTTTCACCCCGTATGATTATATGACATCTGATTTACAACAACGCGTAATGATTTAAAACACCTCACTGCATAACAGTACAATATAATGACAGTTGCTAGTGTGTAAAAGCATTATGCGTTTGTAAATCATTTGTGTAGCCAGAGGAGGTTGTTAGTCATAATCAATGAATCGATCAGGCATCGACTCTTCGCACAGGCAGAGAGGCTTTTTAACAGGGTTTCTTTGTCTTTCGCTCTCTATTCATTTTCAATTTCAAAGATCTTTACTGGCAAGTTTGCTTGATGTGATCAATATTACCAACGCTTCTATTCTATTCTATTCTATTCTATTCTATTCTATTCTATTCTATTCTATTCTATTCTAGTTTAACAATGCGTCAATATATTACATTATATTTCTAATTTATAATCGTATTTAATATTAAAAGTGTATTAATATGCAATAAAAAACATACATGCATATGCATATCTTAATTAATCTTCAATTTCAAGTTCTTTATTTGTTAAGTTCTTAAAAACATTTTGATGCCATACAATAAAAATAACAGTGTACAATAAAATACAATTCAATAGAGTACAAAATTAACATTTTGCTCTGTATTTCTCTGTGTTCTTCCCTCCAATGTTTTGTATTATTATTATTATTATTATTAAATTGAGCTTTCTGGAGGCAGATCTCTCTATAGATTCCATAGATACAATGAACTGGATGCTGTGTTAGGTTACCCACCATTCCTGCATTTAAAGAAATGTTCTATTTCCTTCTCTGTTCCCACAACATTAGGAAATTACAGTCAGATTATCCTAAATCATGCGTTTTGGCAGATACACCGGGAGCATGTAAAAGATCTGAGAGCAAATTATTTGGAATGTACAATAAACCACACATGAGAATACGTAGGCTATACAATCCCCAGCCTAATTTATCAAAATCAATCCTCGTAGGGACTTAAATGAACTACTTGCAGTTTCCAAAACGTAAACGTGTCCAAATATGGCATGTGAAGTGATAATTGCTTCCCGCCCCTTGGTTCTGAAGTGTGTGATTACTGATACAGCAATTAAAACAGTAACAGTCTATACAGTTGCCTGTAATGATGTGAGAGGATTATTCAGCCTTATCTATGTTCTGCATCAGAGATAAACACAGCTAATGACATCCCACTGGTCTACTAGGATAATGCAAACCTCATTCTTCTCCATCATTTTTGGCTCTGTTTACCAAGGTTCTCTTTTGGTCTTATACACGGGTAGTTTAAGATCTCTTAGCATCAAATCCGGGCGGTGAAACTTGAATGTTCCAGGTTCATTACAAGGTCTATTTGCGGCTTGCTGTCAATCATTTTCACTTGTAAACACAATTTGTAAACACAAGACACTGAGAATGGAAGTAAATGGGGCAACGCAATAATTGGTTTCAAAAAGTATAGCCACAAGACTTTATACATGTTAACATGACATTAGTGTGCATCTGCGTATTCAACACATTCTCATTCCCAACTTGTCACATATTGACGCTTGTTCAGGACATCTCGGCATCACTTTTTAATGCACAGGGTACTGTAATTTTTCGACGTGCATGCTGCACCATTGCTTTAAATGACAAAGCTTTGGGATCATACACATGCGATTGGCATGGAAATTTTATCGCCATAAATTGGGTTATAATGTTGCCAGTATGTTGGGGTGTGATTTTTAATTTAATCAACCTGCGTAATTTTATTTACATTTATTTTATGTACACTATTTAGACATGTTTGAGCATGTAACCCAACACCACCCCTAAACCTACTCAATTTCTACTTTTACAAATGCAAAGAATTGACTGCGTCTTAATCTGACGCATAAGGCAAACAACTGAATGCAATGGCAGACCGTTGCACGTCGAAAAATCGAAAGTATGAAGAGTCGGGAGTGAGGAATGTCACACAGATAAGAGTAATACATCTTTTTTTTTTATTGCGGCAAGTTTGCACGGAAAAGGCTATTTATTATGGCCCTATTAAGTCATTAAATGAATATAAATGTGTGATTAGTCGACTAATGGCTTATGAATGACTACTGGTCGACTAGAAAAATCTTTATTTGGGGCAGCCCTAGTGTTACTGTAACTAACAATTTTTTTATAAAGTTAGTTATTTTTAGGCGTATCAACATTTGCACCACACATTCTGGCAGAATTTTCCAAGAACAATTCCAAGTCAAATTGTACTTTGGTATCTTGACATAAAGCTGTTTACTTACCAAAATTCCCTTTTTGCGTGATCTGTCAACCTGTTCTGACAGGGAAATGTAACTAAGAGGTGGCAATTCCGAAAGAATTCGTACAATGTCAAACGTACAATAACGTTTGATTATTAGGAAAAAAGCAAGCATGAAGGTCCACCCCTAAACATTTGTAAGGGTACACACATTGGGGGGTGAGCAGATTGTACAAAAATACGGATGAGATTTTTCGAATTCCTACGAATTTGCCACCAATCCGAATAGTTAGTTACGAATTGCCATGAGATTGTGTTGGACCTTTACAGTATTTAAAGCCCTAAACTGTTGAACTAAATGAACATTGACGGATTATTCACATTGGTACTTGTGAGTGTGTGGTTATCGTGAGTTTACAAGAAGTGTTCACAACCCTTTAGCTTTAGAAAAACTAAATATGGACCGATGTGCTCTATGCACTACAAGAGCTTAGAATATGTAGACTTAGATTTAATAGTCGCTCATGTGTTGTTGCATTAATAATTTCACAGTAAAGGGCATGAGCTGCATGCACTCGCATGTGAAACTGCAATATTTATGTCACTTTCCTCCAGCTTCCTACCACATGGCTAATGGCTAGAGCGGTTTCAGTAGACCTCACAGATCTGTTCTGTTCAGTGCTTGACTTTTTGCCCTTCATAGACTGTTTAGAAAGTATTTACGGAAATACCCATACACATGGGACATATTGCCAGCCGGCCTTTGTCACAGAACCTCAGTTGTGAGCATTAAGAAACAAATTTAAAAGCCCATGTTGCGGCCCGCTAGCCACCTGCATCCTTTCAGAAAAACTGTTTGCTTATTTCCCTGTGGCCTCACACTTGCTCTGAGTCTCTGACTGCTTTTATATGCCCCAGGGCTGGGATTTCACAAAGCATCCCTATTGGCCGCAAGCTTTTCCCGAGTGCGATGAGAGCTGCGGCGATGAGAGTTGATGTGAGGAGGGCAATGCACTCTGACACAATTCATGAGGCATACAAGCAATTTTACATTCTCCACTTCAACACATTTTGACTCAAAACACTTGTGATGCTACAGGCCCCAAATTGCATTTGGTTCTGATGGAGCTCATGATATGCCATTGCTTTAGTGGTTCATAGTTTGTTTTTAGGAGGAAAGTGAGGGGAAGTACAATTCAGGCCATGGCAAGCGTATGTCAAGTCATATGCTTTTGGGTTTGAAGTCAACATGAAATTAAAATCGACCTCATTGATTTTCTAAATAAACATTACTGGTCTTAATGTAAAGAAGCCTGTTTTCACCCCCCAAAAAATACAAGGGTAATTGTGATATACATTACCAAAAAAGTCACATTGTGAGATATAAAGTTGAAAATTGCATAATGGCATTTTCAAACTTTGAATGTGAAACATCTTCACATCAAATTAAGAGATACTGTAAAATGTTCCACTCTTTGAATTAAACTTGCGTTGTGAGATATAAAGTCATATTAACAAGAAACCAAACTGTAATTGCAAAATAAACTCACATTATTAGGTATAAAGTCATATTTCGAGATATAAAGTTGAAAATTGTAATGGTATCTTTAAACAACAGATGTGAGGCACCTTTGAATCAAATCACAAGATAAAACATTCTTCTTTGAGATTTAAACTCACATTGTGAGATATAAAGTTGCAAATTACGTAATGGCATCATCAAACTTCGAATGTGAAGCATCTGCGCATAAATGTACTTGCTAAAAAGTTTCACTCTTAGATTTAAACTCTCATCGTGAGATATAAAGTTGAATCGTGAGATATAAAGTTGTATTAACAATAAACTAAACTGAAATTGCAAGAAAAAGTCACGTTGTTAGGTATAAAGACACATTGTGAGATATAGTCGAAAATTGTATAATGGCATCTTTGAAATTCAAATGTGAAGCATATTTGCAGAAGACTATGTAATAAAAAGTTTCACTCTGAGATTTAAACTCACATTGTTAGATCTAAAGTTGTAACAATAAGAAACAAAACTGCATTTGCAAGTTTTAGGGTATGTTTACATGACAACGATGTACTAACAATGGAAAGTTTTTCCTAGCATTTTTCATGTACAGACGACAACATTGTCAAAACGATCCCCGTTCACATGGATCCACGAAAATGACTAAAAATGCTGTATTAGTCATGCCAGGCCAGTAGATGGCGATGTCACTTTGTAAAGAAACATTACGTACCAATAGACTAAACACTTAAGGCCCTGTTTACACGAGAATGCTCGCGGGTGAAAACGTAAAAATATTTCATCAGATGTGCCTTTCGTTTACACGGCGATGGCGTTTTTGGGGCTTAAAAACGCAAAAAAGTGAAACCACCCTCCAGAGTGTAAATCTTAAAAACGCTCCACTGTCGCGTTCCCGTCTAAAGGGTAAAAAACCGCAAAAGTTTTCACAAATTCACGTTTTTGTAGTTTACACGGAGATGTTTTTAAAAACATGGTATCGTCTTCAAAAACTTGCACTTTGAGTCCCACTTTCAAAATTTAGCATTTTTAGGCCCCCAAAAATGCTGTCATCATGTAAATGAATAGCCGAAACGCATAACAAGTTATGCATTTTTAGTTGAAAGCAGTAAACTTTTGGGGCGTGTAAACGGTCCAAAAGTCACATTGTTGGGTATAAAGCCACATTGCGCAAAATAAAGTTGAAATTGCAACAAATG